AAAGGTGTGTTTTAGAAGGTGAGATGTGAAATGCCATAAAAAACTGTGCTTCTGGTAGAAACTCTGTCAATTTGGGTCTGTCTGCCTTTGCCTGCTCTGAGATTTGCCCCTCTAGGGCAGCAGTAAATGAGCGCTGCTTATTTACTGTTGCGGGTGCTCTAGGTAGATGTTTCTGAGTGGGATCATTGGTCATATTTGAATCCCAGAGGTTCAGAATACAGCAGTAAAACTGCAAGGAATCTTCTATTTTACTGTACTTTCTCTACCAAGGGTTAATTTGGTAATGTCACCTGTACTGTACAAAGTTCTTCAAACTCTGGCAACCTCACTGTGTTGACAAGTGCAAGAGTTTAAATTAATGGAAGCTAAGTAAGCATACCCTTCTTGAAATTTGATCTGGATATGAAGGTTATACTGTCTCGTGATTTTGTCCTAGACCCTGGGCTGCTTCAGAAACTGTTCTGCTTGCAGTCAGTTGGGGAGCCTTCGGTCTGATCTTGGACAACTTTGTAACTTGCTTCTTGTGCAGAACTGCCACCATTGTTTAATTTATGAAAATTTAGTTTTTATGAGGTGCCTGTCTGCTTCAAGAGGTGCCATGTCATGTTAGTTATTCACTATTCAAAGGTGGATGTTCTGTTTTTATCCACCTGGCAAGACTACAAACTACATGTTGTAGTTTGGCTACCATTTGGCTACTGTAGGCTTCCATTTCTTTTTCCTATCCTTTTTTACTCTTCATCCTTTGCTCATCATTACTCTTGCTTTACCAGTGGCATGTTTGGATTTTTCTTTTTTTTTTTTCTTTCTTTTTCCCCAGAAAAGTGCATTAGATTCAGAGAGTAAGATTAGGACACAAAAGGGAGGAGCAACATGGAGCTCATACACAGCAGCAAAAATTACCTCCGTAATAAACATTTCATAATGCTTTGAAAATCCATTTAAAACTGACCTCACATCAAGGTCAGAGAGAAAGCTCAAAGAAAATTGCTTGTAATAGAATTTTGTGAAGTACTGCATTCATCAGTGGGCAGTAGAATTGAATGTCCTTTAGTGCAGAAATACCAAGAAATTTTATTGGGCTTAGTGCTGTTGAAATTCTTCTATAAATTAATGTAGAATGTAGGCCTCATCTGGTGCTTACACTGGTAATTTTTCTAGAACCCTTTATTCCATGAAAGTGCACTGTCTTTTCAGAAATTCCACTTAAAGAAATGGCAACGTTGCAGCATGTCTTTAATTTGGCATGTATGGTATGTCTGGAAGGAAATCTATTTGCTGTGTATTAGCAATGAGAAAATTATGTTGGAAAATAGAATGAAATAGTGGTTCCTAAAAGCTGTTGTTTTTTTTTTTGTTCTGGTGGTTTGTGCATTGGTGTTTTAGAAAAATTGTGTCTGCTGTTGGTGGATACTTTAAAAGGACATTCAAACTGCTTAAAATTTCATCAAACCTGGTTCAATTTCTTAACAGGGAAATTGATAGCTTACTTAAAAAGACCCACACCAACCCACTCTTAATCAGTTAAATGTAACTTTAGGTGAAAATCTTGGTTGCAGTTGCTGCTGTGCGTTTGGCTGTGTAAAGGCCTTTGTAATGTCCCTCACATGTAGATATTTTCCTTTAACCAGGATGTAGCTATAGAACCAAGCAGTGTTGTTCAGCACTACACAGGAGAACACTTTTCCCCCACGTATTGCAGCTGAGTAAGCCATAAGATCTGTGCTGAAAGAGGATTGTGAGTTTTTCGTGTTCATCCGAATTGACAGTTGTGCTCATAGGATCTAAGGCTTATCTCCAGGCTATCTGGCCTGTGAAAACAATTGCCTCTGGTCAGTGGTGAATACAGAAGCAGCTGGCTGGACAATGGCTATTCATCTGGCATTCTGATGTGTACAGAATTGCCTTCAAACATGTTCAGTCTTCACCAGACAAGGAGAAGGTTCAGTAATGAAGTGGTCAAGATTTTCTGTGCCTCTGTTTCTGGAAGAAGCCAAGGTCTGGTTTCTGTTCCCCCGAAGTCCAGACCTGAGTCATTCCTGTCTGCTCTGTTACCTCTGTACGTAACACCATCACCTGTGGTAAAAGCACTAAAATTTGTTTTTTCTACTTGTGATTTAACTTCCTGAGTATGATGTAGTGATGCATCTCAACAGCTTGGGCCATAGTGTGCACCAGCCAGACTGTCTGTAGAGTTTCTTATCAGGCCCTCTGGAATTTCTCAAGGTTGCTGAGATGTAAGCTGTTCTAAAAATAAGAAAGAAGAGGCTGAAAAACAGGAAAACAGGACCACAACAGCCAGATAGCAGAGGGTGGTTGAACGCCTGGACTGTAACCAACCCTGTGCCCTGAGGGGTGCAAGCAGAGAGCATGGACAGGGTAGGGGCACCGATGAAAAGATCCATATTCATGTGAGCAGTAGGTTTAGAATGTATAAATAAGTGTATGAGGTAAACAATAAATGGCTTCTATGAAACCATGTTGGCTCATTGATCAGAGGTCCTGAGAGCTCCTGCAGTATGACACTGTTAAACAGCCAGGGGACTGGAGTACCCATAAATACCTCGTTGCAGATTTGTTAGGAAACTGCCTGGGAGGGGGGTCAGAAGAAATAGGAAGGAGCACAGCTTAAGACTAGTGGTGAAGTTCTTTAAATCTGGTGTAGTGTTGAGACTCACTGTGAAAGGATAAAACATTTTTCTTCCTCTTTAGTAAACAAATGCAATCTGGGTAGTACATGGTTGTTAAGAAATTACTTCTGGGAGGGACTTCTGCAACATCCCTTTGGCAGTCTGGCTCTTTCCAAGGTGTATTTTATGATGTCTTTGTGCCTTGGTTTCTTAAATTTTATCCAGTAACAACAATTGATTAATAATGTATTAATTAAGACAGTGTTTACCTGCCTTTTTAGCGTTAGATTTGATTCCAAAACTTATCCAGCCAGCCAGAGTTAAGCAACAGAAAATTCTTAGTTAACTTCTCATCCTTTATTTTTACTTGCATATGGTGATATGCTTTAATAATACAACTGGACTTAAAATTAAGTACCAAGCATTGATGTGTTTTTTAATTCTTAGAGTATATGACTAGCTGCTCAATTAAATTAGATTTAGTGGTCTTATTTTAAATTAAATAAGTTTTGATGTACTTTAATAATTTGTTTGGCTTGGTACATGTTTTGTAAGCTGAATCTACTGCTTTTTGAACTGGGATTCACATCACTGAAATAACCTTGGTTCTCTTTCTCAGCTGTCAGTAAGCTTTCCTCTTTGAGGTCACTTTTAATTGGAGTATAGAAATTACTGAAAATACCAAAAATTACCCAAAATGCTTTCCCACTTGTACAATAAGTTTACAAATCACTTTTACAGATTTATTCTGCATATAGAATAAACTATCAGTGTGGTTATTTCGCGGTAGCTTCCCCTTCCATGAGGAAATCTCAAATTCTGTTCTGGGTTTCCTTTTACCAGCTTTTGAAATTTTCTTTGTTGGTTCCCTGTTTGGCTGCACAAGCACGAGTTTTCTCATCTGGAGAAGCTGTGGTGCCAGTGGGTATTTTAATGCAGGTGACTCATGTAGAAAAACATGTGAAGCAGTGGGGTATCTTAAAGAACCTTCTTGATTTCTCTCAAACTGACACATGGAGATCTTCAATTTGGTGGAATGCTTCCTAGAGGATTAATATTCTTTCTCTGTCCTGAGAAAATGTATTTCCTGGTCTCGTCAGAACTGAATTTGCTGCAGCTGGGATGTCTGTGATGCATTTTCATGCATGTTGAAATGGTGATGATTTAAAAAAAATTGCAAAACTATTTTTTCAACTTCTCTCACTTGTTTTTGTAATTCTAGGAGACTTTGCAAAGGATTGTCAGTACTCTCGTGAACAAAAATGATGAAATCCACAACTTCATTGACATGCTGAACCATACAATATCAAATGTTCAGGTATTTATTTTAAGGTTCACAGCTTGTATCTGAGAGGGGGGTACCTTCTCACTTTTGTTAGTCTCAAACTGTGTAGTGTCTAAAGGATGTGCTGTAAGAGTCCAGTTCAAAACACATCTTCATGTTGGAACTAGATAGAAAAACATTTTATGTTTTACGTCTCTCTAGATGAAAGGTGTTGTGTAATGTTTGAAGAGGTTTTGTGGAACTTCTTTTGTGTAGGAAAGATAATCTTTAATCTGATGCAAGATCTGAGACACACATTGGTGGAAATAGTCTGTATTTTCAGACATCTACTCTGTTTGGTGGACTGAAAAATGATACTTGACAGAAAATACTTTAGTCTTTCTCTTTTCAGCAGTTTGAAATTGTTGGACTCAAGTTTGGAGTTAGAAGTTTTTGTTAAGGCATCTGCATGAGGATGAGGTTTGGGTTCCTTCAGCCTGTCAATCAGCTAAAAGTTGTTTCATCCTAAAGCTAAGTGAGGTTGGCTGCTGCAATGGAAACTATCCAGCTGATCCTTAAACTACCTTCCTGAGTGTAGTTTTTAGCATCAAATAAAATATTTTTCTTTGGAATTGGGTAAATTCCTCCTTCCAAAGATCTAGCAATCCGTAGACAATTGCACAAGGAAAATCAAAGCTTTTGGCGTGGACCGAAGTTACCGAGTGTGCTGTTTTTGTGCAAGTTTGAGTATCATAGGATTTTCACAAATTGCAGCATTCAGTGTCCTGATGTAGAGTCTGCTCAGGACACTATTAGATCACTCCTAATAATTTTTCCGTTTTTGATAAACTGAGAAGCAGTCACAAGTGGTCATGACCTAGCAGTCATGGCAAAACAGGTGTGGGGAGTTACGTGACTTTCAACTTCTCTGTATTGTTTCCAGTGTAAACAGCATTTTCAATTCTTAGGTAAACTCTTCTAATGCCATCAGCGAGCTGGATGAGGAGTTTGATGGTCTGTATTCTGTACTGCATGAGATGAAGGGGAGCATGGCCAACACTATTCAGCAAGAAGAGGCTCGTAAAATTCAAGCTTTGCAGGTAAATAAATGACTCCAGAAAAATTTTGTAGCTGCACAGAAGCGTTTTTAAACTTCTTCTGTTCCTGTTATGCTATCCCTGTTTCTTACACAGCAATATTGATTTTCAGGGTTGTCTTGTGACGCTTCCGGAGCTGGTAAAGTCACCACCTTTTTCAAGGCTATTGCCACACTGTCATTCAGTGATGAAGAGCAGTTCTGTAAATAGAAATTGTAGTGCACATGAATATAAGTGTTCATTTCTCTGCTTTCTGAAACCCTGAAGCTGGGGGAAACAGGGTGTTGAAATTAAATCTGGCTTTTAAGTCAGACTTCAGCTTTTCCCCCCCCTTGGAGTTGTGGGATGTGCCAAGTATCACTGTGCACTTGTCAAGCACAGTGAAGTTAGGACACTGTGAGAGGCCTTGGTTATATAAGGGAATAAATTGTCACAAATGCATAACAAATCTGTGTAGTTCCTAGGACTGGTGCCTCACACACTGCAGTTTTAATGGGAATACATCACATTATTGTTTCTGTTTTTTGCTCCAGGATCAGCTGAGCCAGTGCAGCCATGCCCTGGAGAGCTCAGAAGAGCTGCTGGAACTTGCTGTGCAGTCACTGGACATAAAGAACCCTGTGGAGCTCTTAGAGGTAGAAAGCATTGACTGGATGTGTGTGAGGCAGGTGTTGGCATCTGTCTCCATTTGAAATATCCTTTGCATTTCCCTCCTGGACACTGCAGGAGGTGTACTTAGGGTAGCAGGTGTACTTAGAGTGAGGCTAGACAGGCATATAAAAATACAGTTATTGCTCTGCTGAAAGGCCGAGTTAAACATTGTAGTCCTGAATTTTTATTCAATTTCTGATAAAGCAGGTTGGCTTTTTTCTTCTTTAGGGTGATGGAGAGGGAATACAATGCCACCTTCTGGACAGCTGTCATTGTCAGGCGAACTTGCAGGGATGACCCCAGGAAGGGAGGGTGAAATAACATGTATCTAACTGGAAGAAATACTTGTAAATTAAGGGAACAGTTCCACATATCCACTAAATGAGTACACTAATGCTTTCTACAGTAATCCCAGTGGTAGCAGCCACACCAAATGCAAAGCCAGATTACTTTTTTTCTCCACCTTTTAATGGGAGCAAGGACACAAACCAGTTTAAAAGAGCTTGGGAGAAAGCTGTCTTCCTGTGTCAGTTTTACCTTTTGGCTGCATGTTTGTGTGCCGTCGTGCTTTCTGGGTGTCAGCTTTGATTTATTTGCCTTGAAGAGCAGCAATTCCTAAACAGTATTTTTTTTTCAGCTGGAGTTGTCCTTTCTGCCTTGTAGCAAAAAAATTAAGTTGGCTTTTGAACTCTGTGCAAAATGCAGCTTTGAATTTCTTGGAAGTTGTTCTATTTCAGATCCCTCTAATGCTTTTTTCCCAATCAAATACGCCAAGGAAAGCTGTCTGAGCATTTGCTGGGGGGAAACCTCTTCAGATGTGGAGTCTGAAGATTAAGATACCGAAATCAAATTCAGTGAGCTCTAATATGTAGGATTTGCTACTGGTATTAACACTTGTGCATTTGGAGATGACATTTTAAGGCAATATTGCCTTGACTATTAGTCAGTTAATTCTATTACTCTGCTGGGAGGAATAGCAAGTATTCCTGAAGGGGCAGCTCCAGCCCTGACTCTGATATATTCACAAATTTTCTTCGAATACTCCAGTAAATCAGTTCAGGAGCAATTAGCATAAGATTATATTTTAACTTTTTTCTCTTTTTTTTTTTTTTTTTTTTTTTTTTTTTTTTTTGGTGGCTTTATTCTTGGACTTGACTTACCTGGAAGTCAAAAGAACATGAGCAGCAGATTGCAGGGGGGTTCAGTGTTTAGGCAGGATGTGATCAGACACTGCTGGGTAGCTCCTCTGGAATGGGCTGATCCTTCTCTGTCAGCAGCCTGGAAACAAACCAAAGTCAGTGAAGTTAAGCTGGGGCTGTCTTGCAGAAGATGTTGAGTCTTGGCTACCTCATATTTTACAAGATATGGAGATTAGAGCCAAGGATTTTGTTGTGAAGTATCTCTGTTTCATATCATGTAGAAAAATCAGTCAGTAATTCCTACAATAACTTTGTTTTGAGGTGAAGCAAAGCTACCTCTTTTGCTAAATTATTTATAAACACTTAGTTTGGGGGTTTTTCTGCTTCCCACTTTAGGAATATATAATCAGTTTTGTAGCAGGGACAGCCTGATTTCCTATTTATTTTTTTTTAATGGGATTTGTATTTAGTGAAAAATTGGGAAGTTCTCCACTTTTGACTTCAAACTGGGAAGCTGCCTGATGATTCTTGTTTCTTTGAAAGGGAAAATAATTCAGCTGAATGAGCAGCTGGATCAAGGAGGAGTGTTGAAGCAATGCTTCAACAGACACAACCAAGCCCTCACTACTTCAACAGTAATCTTTTGTCTTAGGTTTGTCTCAGGTCCTTTTGGTGAAGGAGAGATATTTTTGTCTTTCCACCTGCCAGATGATGTTTATCTTTTAAATGTCATCATTTCTGCATCTGCTTCAGTGTTCTTATTTGAGAATAACTACTTGCTGTCATTTTTGTATGCTGACATACAGAGAGCCTTTTATTATACTTCAACAACGCTTCCTAACTTTCAGAGGAAAAGTTAGAATAAGTCCTATTTTTTTTCTTATTTATCAGGGCATGCATCCTGTGGTGCGTAGTTCAGCAAGTCAGGCATAGTTAAATGTCACTAATAAGCACTTCTTAGTTTGACAGAAAATACCATGGCTGTTAAATGTTGTTGGCTTGGTTCTGTAGCTCTTTTAAAAAGCCATGGAGAGTAACTCTAAGAGAAATCTGAAAATACAAAATCACGCTCAGAACGTTGAGTAATTTAGAATTGATTTGTTTTTCTGGAAATCAGTTTTGGTTTTTTTCCACCCAGATGTTTCATTATTGCTGTGCTAACCCACGCTATTAACGTGTTTCACAGGACAGTTTACTTTAAGGAATATATTGAACTAATTTTGAACTTCAAATCTGAGCAATGCAGCAGATTGTTCTTGGTCTTCTTGCATGTTCCTGCCATTGATACTTGCATGGAAATACTAACTACTTTCTCTCTCTTCTCCCTGACATGCATCAAGGCTGCCAGACAGATCAAAGATAGGTACAGTACAAAATCTATGACTTTTGTCTTTTTAATTAATCTTATCCTTGAAAATGCATTTACTATGAAAGGGCCATAGTCAGCTTTAATCAAATTCATTGACTCTTTCCTGAGTGTTAGTTATCACAACTTCTGAGAGGGAACTAAAAACTTCTGTGCTGCTCATGTAGTGTTTTTCTGGCTTTTCGTAACTTTAAATAAAAATATGTTTTTGGTGCAGGGAAGTGAAGTTCTGCATCAGCTGCTGCTGTAATTATTACTTCTTTGAATATATATGTATATAATTAATTATTATTGTTAATAATAAGCTTATTATTAATACCTCATGGCTGAAATTTAATGATGTTTCAAGCTGACTCTGCCCCTTTGAGTTGTGGGAGAATCTTACTGTTTTGGTTTTTTTTTAAGTACTTAAAGACTTTTGCTAGTTAATTTTCCTTCAGAATGTAAAAAGTCTTGCAGCTCTTGAAATACTTCTGGTGACACTAGTGACCATGAAATTATTATTTCTGTTAGCTTTTCTTTGAACAATTGTTTTAAAAGCAAAACTTTGCTGTTTCAAAATCAATAAGGCCATTTTTCTTCACTTGGAAGAATGTTAACTCTAGTCCAAGCATATGACGTTTTGGTTCAGAAAACCTTCTGTTATATATATATATATATAATACATATATTATATATATTATAGTATATAATATTTTATATTTATATTTAATATATTTAATGTTTTAATATAGTATTTAATATTTTGAGAAGCAGCTAACAGGATGTTTTTGCTTTTGTGGACCAGATAGGTTGGCTTTCAATTTACAGGTTTTTCGGTGAAGGCTCTGATTTACTAAATTCTCTGAACTTCTGTGTAAAATTAGTAATTGTTAGAGCTTAAATGAATCTTTGCCTTTGTAAAGTTAAAATTTAGTATCCTTAACAGGTCAGAGGGAGAGTGGATAGTGTCAGTAATGGGGCTGTTTGGTATGTTTTGTCAGTAATAAGCATCCTCTTCTGGTTTCATGAAATTATCACCAAATCCTTCGTGGTTCTCTGTTCAAGACTGGTGTCTGAGCAGAAGTCAGAAAGCCCTCTGTCCCTGGTGTTCTCTTGCTGCTAATCAGAGGATTATTCTTCCTTAAGGAGAGATTTTCTGTACCCATCTGGCAAAGCACTGATGTGCCAGGCAGCCCGTACTGAATTTCACAATGTGAGCTGTTTTGGAAAATCAATTGAATTGTCTTTCATGACGTTCAGCTCAGTCTCATTATTGTCTCATATCCCAAAATGGCAAAGCTCATCACTCCTGACTTGCATATATTTTTAATAATAAACTTCACATTTTCTCTTCCTTCATCACTACCAGATTTTTGTTTTTCAGTGTTCTTTGATAATATCTGTGGTTAGCATACAATCTCTTACATACTGGTGGAGTGCAGGAAGGGATATGCATTAGGTGTTCTAAAGGTGCCACACATCAATGGGTGTAAAATGGATTCAGGTCTTGGCAGTTGACTTTTGTCGCAAATATATTACTTTGTAATTGAGAATCTTTTTTAAAGGAGGAGTTGGGAATCTCTGAATTGTGGTTCAAAGTGTCTGATGTTTCTCAAAATCTGCTGCATGACCTGGTGTTTTCAGAGTTAGAGAATTATATAAGAGCTTTTTTTGGTGGTGTAGTTGGAGTACAAAAATGTCATAGGGGTGTTCATGATAGTACTCACCTAAGATTTCAGGAGTGGAAATGGAAGCTGTGCTTCACAGTCTGCCAGGATGGGTCAGGTTGGAAGGGACCACAGTAGGTTGTCTGTCCTAATGTGCCTGCTCCAGCAGGGTCATCCCAGAGCACGTGGCACAGGATTGTGTCCAGGTTCTGGAATACCTCAGTGAGAGAAACTCCCCAGCCTCTCTGGGCAATGCGTTCAGGGCTCGGTCACTGCCCAGGGAAGAAGTTCTGCCTTGTGTTCAGGTGGAGCTTTGCAGGCCTCAGGCCCTGCCCGTGGCTCTGGTGCCATTGCTGGGCCTCTGGAGCAGAGCCCGGGCCCTGCTGGGAGCCCTCCCTGCAGCCAGGGACACCCAGGGCTGAGGGCCCCTCTCAGCTGGGGCTCCTCTCCAGGCTGAGCAGCCCCAGCTCCCCCAGCCTTTCCTCATGAGGGAGATGCTCCAGGCCCTTCCTCACCTCCACAGCCTTTGCTGGACCTGCTCCAGGAGCTCTGTGTCCCTCCTGCCCTGAGGAGCCCAGAGCTGGACACAGCACTCCAGAGGTGCCTCCCAGGGCTGGGCAGAAGGGCAGGATCACTCCCTGACCTGCTGGCAATGCCCTTCCAAGTGCACTCCAGGGTCCCATTGACCTCCTTGTCCCCAGGACACTCTGCTCAGGGACAGCTCTTTGTCCCCCAGGCCCTTGAGGTCCTTCTCTGCAGAGCTGTTTGCCAGTAGATCACCCTGGCCTGTGCTGGTGCTTGGGGTTATTCCTGCCCAAGTGCAGGACCCTGCATTTCCTTTGTTGAATTAAATTCTTCAGTGTTTAGTGTATCTGCTGTTTGTCTGTCCTCTTGTTTTCCTTGCAGGAGGGAGTCAGGGGGGCTCACCACCCCCCTGACTCCCTCCTGCAAGGAAAACAAGAGGACAGACAAACAGCACCTGGCAGTTGTTTTCTGTCTCTGAGGATTGTTTTGAAATCCTCCTATGAAGTTCTCAGGCTAGCTTCTCAGGCAGGACTGAGAGGCCATGGGCCTGCAGCCTGCTCCAAAGCTAGCATCCATATGTATCTTGTTGTCTGGTGGTTGCATGTTCAATTCTGCTGCTTGAAAAAAACTCTTCATCCCCTGATAATTTAATAGATGGATATAAAATCAGCATAGTCAGCTTGTTAATTGCTCTTTAGAAATGCCTAAACATGATCCTGAGTCTGCACTACTTCATACTTGCTGAATTTATGTCAAGCAATGTATATTTTATTTTGTTTCTTATGCAGTTTTTTTTTGTCACTAGTAGAGAATTTTAAACTCATCTTTAGTCACCTCATTAGTGTTTATTTGCTTAGTAATATGGAACAGCTGGTAGCTCACACCATTATTCTGAGACAGTCACATTAGCTAAACTTTCTATTTTGAGTGTGCTGAATGGTAAACAATTATGTGTTAGAAAAATGTTCTAATCTTTGATCGGTAGTTTGACGTCAGTGATACAGATTGTCTGATTGCTGTTTTGGAAATTGGGATATAGAACTTGACAATGTGAAGTACATTTTGCTAATGCTGTTTTCTTGGCTTCAGTGTCACAGTGGCTTCAGCATTCCGCCTCTCTCTGAAACCAAAAGTCAGTGACAGTATGACTCATATGATGGTGGACTTTGCCCTGGAAAAGCGCATGCTTCAAGCTGTGAAGTTTTTGCCAGGTAAAAACTGTATCCAGCGAGCGTAATTTGTTGCTATGTGAACAGCTTGCTATATTTAAATCAACCAAACAAAAGAAAATTGCACCTCTTGCTCTGTAATAAGCAAATTTTAAGAGTACCTGAACTCATTCTTACTCAATGTGTTTTAAATTGAATACCTTGAGGATGAGACTTTTATTGTATTAATTTCTACACAAGACAGCATTTTGGAAAACAGTACTGATCTCAGAAGTGAGAGTGAGTCTCCTGGACCATGTTTTTTCATGAGCTGTCAGTTCCTCTGTACTCTGTGAAGTTACCTGAGGTTTCTTAGGACTGTCCATGCCAGCTTGATCCTGAGTGACACCCCAGAGTCCTGCTCATGTGCAGGAGTGTTATGTGTGGAACTGTAAACTTACACATTGCTTACCAGAGTGGTGAAATGATCTGAAATACATGAGAGGGACAGTCTACTACTTCGGTGATACTACCATATAACAAAATGTCTATTAATCCATCTACTCCTGTTTGACAGTAAACTTGGCTGCATTAGATGAGTGTGTATCTTTCATGCCTTTTTAGTGCAATTGCTTTCCTATTTAAAACACTTTGCCCTTGTTGGCTGTTAACTGAGAGTATATTGACAAGAGCACTGCTGGCAGGGATGTAAAGTTGCCTGGGTCATGAATCCAAATCTATTAAGGACTTGGTAGCATCAGTTTTCATTTCTGCCCCATGTGTTGCAGATACAGTATGTGGTAGCAGGTGTAGTAAATGACCACTGTACTTGCTAGTGGTCAGCTGGCAGTGTCCAGGCAGAAATTCACCTTCTAGTCTTGGCCTCTGGGTGTCAATCACTGCCCTGCATTTCACAGTGCACCTCTTTAACAGCAATGGAGTGTGAAGATCACACAGCAAGTGTGAACAAAGTTCTGCATTTAGATAAAGGTATTATTTAGTATGACCCTTCTTACACCTTTTTATTTGTCAAAGATATAGGAACTTAAATTATGCCTCTGATTTGTAAACAGGAAAATAGACTGTCTAGGTATCAATCTTGTTTTTTCTACTATAGTGCCATGCTTCCAAATTACTCAGACATCAAAAGCTCAAACTGAAAACAATAAAACATTTTTCATTTCCTGCAGCGAAAGTTGTCCTTGGGTGCCCTTACTATGTAAATGTCTTCTTCAAAACTTTTTTTCCACAGACTTAAGTGCTATTTGGTTTCATGGAAATAGAGTTCTGTTGCCTATAAACAAAACTTCAGTCTTTAATCAACCTTAGGAACTGTTTCCCCTTCTTTGGAAGACTAAGGGGTGAAAAGAAACTGGGTAACTGAAGAGAAGCTAGTGGAAAATAGTAGTGTCTGTAGTGATGGAAATAAATATGAGTGATGCTCTGTGAGGGGTGCAGCTGAACTTACCATCCACAGACACAGGAGCAGAAGCTTGGTTCTTGATGTTCTTCCTGTGTGGTGTTCATTCCAAATGTAGGTTCATAATTGTAAGTCCACCCTGCTCTAGCCTTCTCTTCTTCAAACTGACCTGTGTGCTTGGCTTTCTGCAGTCCCTAAAGCTCCAGAGATAGATGTAGCTGCATGTCTGGTTGCTGATAATTGCATAACTATTTCATGGAGAATGCCTGAGGAGGACAGCAGAATTGATCATTTTGTGCTGGAGTACAGGAAAACCAACTTCGATGGGCTCCCTCGACTAAAAGGGGAACAGCACTGGGAGCTGGTTGACTACATTAAAGCTACTCAATACACATTATCAGGTAAAGTTTTTTTATATGTCAAACCCAAGAATATTGATAGTACTTTTTATGCTTGGAAGTTTTTCAAAATGCCTGTTTTTCTGCATGTAATGAAGCTGTCATTATATCACATCAGTCTTGGGTGCTTTGTACAATAACAGTTCCGTCTTTTATTTTGACTTTGCAGTTTTGTCAAAAATTGTGTATTAAATAAAGTTCACACCAGTATTCGAGCATGTTTTTTGCAGATTGAGATAAATGAAAGACAACTATGTGGGGATAGATCTTAGTCTTGTAGGAGTTGTAGTAATCAACACAATTTCAAATTTCCACATTCACTTTGTAGGTCTGAAATTTGATACAAAATACATGAATCTTAGAGTACAGGCTTGCAACAAAGCTGTGGCAGGTGAATACTCCGACCCTGTGACTCTGGAAACCAAAGGTAAAATTTGAAAAACTCTTAACCTTAGCTGTGAAAATCCTGCACTTAAACTTCTCTGTCTTCATACATGAACCTGTTGTGTTCAGTCTGGTTCTGCATGGACGCTGCTGAAACACTTCCTGAGTGAAAAGGGAAACAACTGTAAAGGATTAAGAAGCATATTGGCACAAAGCTGCATTCAGACTCTGGAAAAATGGGGCAGTTAATGTCACTCTCCAAAAGCTTGGCATTGGTTGCTTTGAACTGTGGAGTGACAGTCCCATCTGCCTCTGCATGATGCCAAATATACAGCAAGAAGAGGGATGAGTGTTGTGGCTGACTTTGTCAACTATCTAAATAGTTGGTGTGATTATTCTGTTATTAGTGGCAAGACACAGCATTATGTGATGAGAAGTTGCTGTTTTCTTGGCTTCGTAGCTACAGTTTCTAATCACTGTCTATTTAAAAAGTTGGCAGCTTCTAATTGCTGAAGGTGTGCAGTCATGATAGAAGTCAGCTGATCAGAGAATTATTAGAGTTGCTTCCTAACATTGTTTCATAAATAAACTGAAAGAGACGTTTCTTGGAAGGGACGTTTTGTGACAGTATGCAAATCTTGGGTATTAAGGTGAGAGAGTGATCCTGAGGTTTGACTTACATCCAGGTCTGGTGTAAAGGGCAAAATTACTGGTATCAACTATATAAATTTATATAGAAATATAAAATTCTGGGAAATTCTATATTCTGTAAAATTCTAGGAAGGAAATTTGTTCCTTTTGAACGTTATTTCATAAGAATAAAGCTTTTTTGAATTTGAATGAGATCACAGGTATTCTGGTAGCTTCTTATAATTACTTTAATATTCTTAAGCAACAGTCATCGTCGAAAATGTAGTATCTGTTTAATAGCCACATAATTCCCTAGTCCAATACCAGAAAAGTAATTCTGATTTTGATTGTCTGGGCAGTTACTGTATTTTCCATATTTTCATTATTCCTGCATGAACACTTAGTTCACTTTCCTTTAATAATCAACCCAGAGAAAGTCAGTTTCCTTGTCCATGTGCTTAACTTTGCTTTGTTTACACTTGTGCATTTTTAAGCTCTAAACTCTTAAAAATCTCAAGTATTTTAAGAATCAGACTGTAATATCTCATGGTATTAGGACATTTATAGAACAGTCTGTATTTAGAATATTGTTTTTTTTGATCCCAAGTTTCAGACTGAAAAGGTGGTGTTTCTGTTATCGTCAATAAAACTCTGCAACAATTTTACTACTGCTTCTATCATTTTCTGTGAATGACCATTACACCATTTCACTGTTTTTTGTTTTGTCTTGACCAGCGTTTGTGTTCAGTTTGGACAGCAGTTCATCTCACCTGAACTTGAAAGTTGAAGACAGCTATGTTGAATGGGATCCTACTGGAGGCAAAGGCCAGGAAAAAATAAAAGGGAAGGAAAATAAAAACAGGTAAGAACTCTGTTTTGTACGTGTCTGGCATATC